GAACAGTGTGAACCCTGCAGATTGCACCTTGCACATCACGATCTTGCTGTAACTTCCCTGTCAGAGGTGTGCGTGGCGACAGCAGAGCCGACTGAAGGCCAGTGCAATTGTGTGCCAAGCACATGCATGACGAACGAGACGCTGTTGCCTTGACCAATGCGTGCACGAGAGGTCGAAGGCGTTTTTTCAATTTGCTGCCGGGCTCACCCTGAAACCACTGCACTTGCTATTACCTAAGGAGAGTACCGAGATGTGAGCGAGTGGGTGAAATGGGTTAGTGGACGTCGGACAGAGAGTGATGTTTCACATGATCAGGTCCACACTGTGATACGTTGTCTATGTCTATGTGTCGTTGGGTGCGTTAGTGGATTTGCGATGTATTGCTTTGGAGAAGCTTTGGAAGCAGCTCAGCAATGACTCAACGCATCACAGACAACAGGTGGTAACCGGGATGTGTAAGTTTGGTGGTCATGGTTTTTGGTGAGTTGGGTTGTGTTCTGTTGAAGCCCTCGGTCTAAACTGCGGAGATTGAACGCCTTATGCGAGGGTGAGAGTCGAAGGAGAGAGCGAGAAGAGCGCGACCCCACCCCAGACCGAGACCTGTCGAAAGAAAAGAGCGAGACACGTGCATTCGTAGCACCTGCATCATTATGAGGCACCATGGGTAAAGTGCACAAGTCACATGATGGTTGGCTTTGCTTCGAAAGCCTCCAAGACTCAATTCTCGGATCTGTCTTCAGCTGACAGGATCGTACCAGCCCCTTCTCGAAATCGCCGAGGTGGGGACGTGTGAAGAAGCCAGGCGAAAGTTGAAAGTTCTCATGCTGAGTCACTGGAAGCCTAAACCTTGCCTGATACACGAAATGCGAATTTGCGACAGTCACCTGGGAGAGAGAGGTCGACTGCTATGCTGTCATGTCCAAGCGAGTCGTGTCTCTACTCGTAGATGTTTTGGCTGACGAAAGATGGGTTGATGTTATTTTGCCTTCCATGCCGTTGCTTACGAAGCAGCTGGGCTGACTACGACATCGCGTGCTCGTGGTCCCAGTTTCCGAGTGGGTTGCTATGTAAGTACTTTCGTTTTGCAGGCCTGGATTGAGTAGGGATGACGCTGTTCATGTAGTGTTCATTTCCCGCTGTGCTGGAGCCTCGGCAGAGTCCTTGGTCCTGCGCTCAGTGGGGTGCTGGCATTCATCAAGTCTAGGTGTAAAAATATCCTTCAACATGAAGTAGCTTTCGTTTTGCTCAGCTGTGACAAATCCGAAGCACCAACCAACACAGTCCGTCGCTTGCAAAGCAGATTCTCGGCTCCACTGCTCACGTCGATGCCAGTTTGGCAGAGCTCGGGGCATGGCCCCCGAGCCGCAACAAGGAAGTTCCCCGCGTGTCATGAGAGTCCGCCATCAGCCTTTGAGGGCAGCTTTCCTTCACTCAGGCTCGGTGCTGCCGTGGAGGAGGCGGAGGAGGTGGCAGAAGCGTGCGCACCCACGGCAGGAAAAGCGCGACGAAGCAGGGATGCACCAGAGACTCCATGATTTCGATGAAGACGGGGTGCGAAAGCAAGAACTACGAAAGCCATCATTCTACCTGAGCCAACATTTGCACCGCCTAGGCATCACAAGATCTTGAACCCTGGCAGAGGGAGAGAAACACACAGAGAAGACAGCTTATCAACAGTCTTGCTTGAGACGTGGGTGGTAAGTGAAAGAAGCTGTTGTGGGCGGCTTGTTGCGTGCTTCGTTTGTTTGTGATCGAGGTTTGTCTACACGTGAAGGGCTTTAGGCACGAGCGACACTAGAGTCAATAGAGCAGAGTCCACATCATCCAAACGACAGTTGCTGCTATCCTGCTGGGCTCGCTGGCTAGTGTCAAACTCCAGCATGCGCTCGCTCGCTTTTGCTCTAGATGCCATAGGGGGTGGGAAGTTTGGCCAACGGCCAGACAGAACTCTATCAGAATTCTTTAACGAAGAAAGAGCTTCGCATTCGCCCCCCACTTGATTGTGCCGTGGCTTCAGACAGAGACCTCTTGAAAGCTCCTGTCCAATTGTGGTTGGGATGTATTGAGGTTGAAGCTGATGATTCTGCTTGAAATCTCGAGGTCTTGATGGCAAAGCAAAGACCGACAACTCAGGTCCTGTCACCATGGTGTACGCGCATGGCAACATGAATGGTGTCCTTGTTGTCTGTTTTTGCAGGGCAGGAGCCGAACAGCATCCAAGAACCTCAACCTGAGGTGTTCATCGCAACAAGATGCTTTCCGTGCGCGGCATCGTCCTAGCAAGGCTGCGCCGGTGTGCAGTTCAGCAGCGCGTTGTTCCTTGATTTTTCCCTTGCACGAGGAACTTGACGAATTGCCGCGCCCCCCGAGGCATGGGTCCTTTGGTTGTTTTTGCTCGGAGAAGTTGGGATGTTCACATTGGGAGTGAAGCAGGCGAGATGGAGTGCATAGGCTACCATAGGCTCTTGCTTAAGCATGTTTATGTCATTGTGCATGTGTAATTCGGCACCCTCTATACAGGCACCTATGCAAATAGGTAAACCTTGGTGTACTATGGTTGGCGAAGTAGAAACTAGATGGTGAGGCAGAGAGTTGGGAAACTGCTTGGGCACACATGCATCGCACCCACATGGACAAAAATACCTGCACGCTGGTGTATCCCCCTGATATGACGGGCTCGATGTACAGCTTGACTAGATTGAAGCGTCTTTGTGTAGACGTGCATGCTTCTCCCCTGCAGTAAAGTAGTGCCAGTCAGGACTATTCCTCCGCCAGAGCAATAGCGTTGCGACCGAGTTGGCGAAGGCTCACACTCAGTTTCTAGTCGTGAGTCCGTGGGAGCAGCCGAGCCACGCACGTCGATTCACAATTCTAAGCAGAGCCAAGACGTTGGTGTTGAAGTGGGTACTGCTGCCATGCACCTCAAGTGCCCGAGAAATTAAGATTCTGAGGTTATTTGACATGTTAGCGCCGAGAACTCAACTCAGCATTGCCAGACAGGCCGGCTTTGGACTCAGCGCGCCGAGGCAGCGGCTTAAGATATCTCCAGCTTCGGAAATGGATGCTATAATGTACTATAATACTAGTACGCAAATGCAACACTAAGTATGTACTATACTAATGTTCCTTTGGTTTAGTTTCTGCTGATCTCCCGCTCGAAAGTGTCTTCACTCCGTCGCATGTCAGTGGACGTGGACGGTGAAGGCCTCAAGCCTCACGGGCTTGGTTGCTAATGGGGTCCTTTTGAAAAGAGCTGTTCGGAAAAACACTGCACTTGGTGAAGGAGTCTGCTCTTTCCTGCAGCAAATGCTACGTTGCGGAGGATTGCCAGACGTTGTTTTGGATTCCGAGGTACAAGGATGAGCCATAACAGACGATATGCGTTGGCTTGCGAAGCTTTTTGCACATCATCGCAGGCCACAGCTCGTTGCAGCAGCGGCTGGACAGGTATCGGAAGGCAAGGCGGCGAACTTGAGAACTGCACCATAGATTGCGCCCTGGAATCGTCCGAGAATGTTCAAGACTATTTGCTGAACGATTGGCAACGGCCGCATTACGCCTTTAACCCCGGCGCAGGGAGCAGCACGGCAGCATCACAGATGGGCGCCAGTCAACTAGCGATGCAGCTCTACACAGTCGGGGAGCCCAGCTAAGAGCCGTCAAACATCAGGACTTTTGCTCGGGGTCGGCCGGATAGCTACCGTATACGTGCGTGGGCGGTTTTACAGACGGAATTACAAGACTGGGACTGATGTTTCCTCGATTGGCTCTTGACCTCCTCAGATGAGTCAGTCCTTGCACAAGAAATCGCTGTGCCTCGCCGACGATCATGGTTAGCTCTGCAAGCATGGTGATGATGATGCGGCAGCTGCTGCTGCTGCTGCTGTTGCTGCTGATGGTGTGGTGGTGTGGTGGTGGTGGTGGTGATGATGATGATGATGATGCTGATGGCGATAATGACAAAATAATGGTGATGATCGTGATGGTGATGATGATGACAGTGATGATGATGACGATGACAATGATGACAATTCGACGCAAACGCAATGACACGACACCGGTAAGACAGTGCAAAACCCCGACGGTCGCATGTCCTGTATAATTGAACGACGACCTGGGGGGAACGCACTCAGACCGCCAGCATGCCGAGTTGCACCCTTCACAAGATGGAATTGCAACGAGAAGAAAGGTTGCGCCACATTCCAGGGGTGAGCTAGTTGGATTGCATTCTCAGCATCTTGTTCGCTTCCTCTGAAGCAAAATCATTATGCAACCGGGACTTGAGCCTGTGCTATATTTATATAGTGGTTCGAACAAGACGAGGCATGGTTGATAGTCCTTCGATTCGTATCACGTTTTTGCAAATCTCCAGGCTTTGTTGTGGCCAATGCAAGCTAAAACCAAACTTGCAGGACGTCCCAGTGTCCATTGCAAACCTCTTCGTTCAAGGACTTCCACCAAGCTAGAAGCCTTACGTAATAGTACCTATGAGTGACTTCATAGAAAATTCACACACCATCCCACACCCACCCACACACACACACACTGTGACTCCCAACGATCTCTGAGGATGACCAGGCAGTGCGTCCGAGGCTTAGCTTCTGCCGGAGCAGAGGCGCGAGGTTGAGGTCATGTGCAGCACTTCTCAGCATGCAAACATTTTGTTTGCGAGTTGGGAGGCAATGCAGAAGTTAACCTGGTGATGGATGTGATGGTGCGCACCGAGGCCGTTTCCTTGAGGATGGAGACCTGACGGCGCTATTTGGAAACCATGCTCCCTGGCTTTCTTGTTTCAGTGTTCGGACACTTGCGCCGATGCCGCTTCGGGCTTGCAGCTCGTGTTCAGGGTCTTCACTGCAGCACGGACCCGATAAGTGTGAATTAATTTGATAGCCGACTCAGTTCTGCTATCCGAGGCCAAAGACGTTGATGTGATGGCATGCTGAAGGAAACACATCTCGCCGGCCAGCGACACACTGTTTACGAGAAAACTAAGGCTGTCTAACTGCTTCTGTGTCAAGCAACTTTTCACTCAAGTTGTTATTCGCGCGGTATTTCAATAGAGGGCATCCGCGTTTCCACTATAGTCTATACTGATCCACTGTTCTGCTTGTAGCAGGCTTTAGCCCTGTGACCTTGGTCGTGCGCCGGCGGACGTGTGTTCTGGCAAGGGGTTTAGGCCGAGCCGTGACTGCTTTTGCCAGAGCTTCTGTGGGGCTGGGGGCTGCCAGGGCATTGTAGAGACACTCCTGAACCTGTCTCGGACACTCGGCCCGAACGATTAAACAGTAGTACTGTGCAAAGGTAAGGGAATTGCATTAAGACTCGGAGCAGACCGCGCCTTTGTCTCGGACATGAGCGTAGCAGCCAGACCCACCGGCACGACCGAGCCCCTCTGATAGTCATGCCTGACTTTGAGAAATTTAAAGCCATTTCCAACACCGCCGGATCTTGGTGCTTACACTTCGGACCTGGAAATTATTTCCAGTTGGCGAAGGCGCATGGGCAAGGGAGATCGTCTGTGCCAAGAATCCCTGAGCTCAGTTGCAGCTGCAGACGATTCAAGCGTTTAATCGGTTCAACTACGGGGGAAGGATCTTCGCGATCAAGGGGGGCTTCCAGTCTCAGCTCTGGTGATAGTAAGCGCGAGACAGGGCACGCACAGGCAGTCTCAAGGTGGAAAGCCCATATTCAGGACAAGTGAGTGCAGTTCTACTGTTGGATTCACAGGATCTCCCACCCATACCTTCAGCAGCAGCGGCGTGCATGGCAGTGCGCCAGCAGAATACCAAAGCTGCGAATCCCAGAGGTGAAGCCTCTGATGTTATTGTGTAGCAGGCTTGGTAGGGAATCGGCTTGGGATCTCCGGAACAACCGACTCAGGGTCCGCAGCAAACAACTGCTGATAGTACGCACGCCATTATGGAATTTTCCTCCTGCGGAGTCGCCCCTGGCAAGCCGCGAAGAGGACACTGGAATCGAGCAAGATTGCCATCCGTTTCATAGATCTTTTGAATCACCAGGGAAAAAGGCAAAGGCCGTGTCAAGGGCTGTGTTTGGGATGCAATGCACGCCACTCCGAAGCGACAACCTTAAGAATCTTAAGGGATTATGTTCTGTTTCACCCTACATTTGGTTCCTGCATTAACATGCGGCCTGTTGGGCAGTGAGCTGTTTTTACGAAGGCTTCTTGTTTGCTCATTTGCGAGCATCATCTGTCCTCGTGTCCTTCGCAGCGGCTGACTTCCAATCCGTAGCTCGGTAATGTTTGCACATCGCATCAGCAGCCACAGGCGTAGCGGTGTGGCGCTACTCGCAGATTGCTCAAGCAGTTCGTATCGCTGGAATGCCTACACACCGCAAGTCACTGTAACTTAGTCTTAGTCCCCGGCAGCGCGCAGTACAGTGAGCAGTCCTTCAAGAGACCTGGGCATGGAGAAGTGGTGCCCCAGGCTGAATCCCAAGGGATAACTTCTTACGGTACATGTGGATACCATCAACGTCGCCCCTCTTTCTAGAACCGGTATGCCAACAGTATCGCGGTGGCTTCTTGATGCTGCAGGGCACTGCTCTGCTCCGGCTGCGAAACCTGTGTTGTTGGAAGACTTCTACGGTTTCAGCCACTAGACCTTGAGATTCCCTGGCAATTCGGGTTAATGCAGCATTGTCAGTACGTTCCGCATGGTTTACAACAAGTTGGTTGCAAATCAAGACGTGGATGTGAAACTAAGGGATGCTGCAAGTTTGAAGCTGGAGTTTTATGTAAGCTTAGTCACAGCCACAGCCGAAAAGTTCGCTGTCCGTGCAAACATGTTTTGGAAGCTCGTTGTTTCGAGCTTACCACGGTTGCAAGCAGCCCTGTGCTTTGTCAACATCACCATCAAGGCTGTCTAGGCTTCTCCATCTATATATGCGGGGTTCGTCGGTGGATTTGGAGGTATAGTTTTCCAGAGCCGCTTGGCATGAGCCACTTTTTCTCGTCCTCCGATTCAGAAGGCACAGGGTTGCAGATGTTCCTGTTTGGGAGAAAGCTCGCATGAAGGGCTTAAACGGTGACCTGTAGCCAACGGCGTGTCTATGGTGCGTGCTCCATGGCTATCCTTGTGTGCAAACTTGGCATGTTTTGCGCCTTCCCCTTCCAATACCTCCTGCTACAGTCTTGACGTATCGCTATCATATGCCCCCACTTGCGGCATTAGCAGATGATGAAATGGATAGCATCCACAAGCCAATCGGATGCAGCAGTTAGATGTAGGTAGTGCTATTTGGCATGGCGACGCCAGCTACCGGTTTCCTGTCCCGAAAAGAGTGACGCCTTTGAACGATCTTCGGCATGCATTTGTACCTGCCTCCTCCTCCTCCAGACAGTGGGGAGCTTTGCAGCAAGACCAGAATCTCGCGGCATGGCTTTGGGGCTAGAGGCATCATTAGGGTTTCAATACCCGATTCAGAAGGCTCCCCGCATCCTGCAAACGGACGCCATCGGGTGCACTGCCCCATTCGCTGTCAAGTCAAGGTTATGTATGCAGGAGCCACAAAGCAACAGTCACGGTGTGGGCCCCGTTGTAGCGTTACCACCGCTTAGGAAGCATTATGCAGCATAGGAGTTTGTGCAAACCGTTGTATTTGCTGGATAGCATTTGATGATCTGCGGCAGTACGGGCTTGATAGGAGTCGTATGGATGCAGGCGTGACACTTAGGTTTGCGATCTAAGTTAAATCTCGGGTTTCACTTTTTACAGGATCTCCTGCAGTGACCAATGGCTCCATCCGTTTTTCACACCAAGCCCCATGTTGAGTGGACAAGGTGCCCTGCACGAGAAGGACTGCCAGGTACGACGCAGACGATGCGCTCGCAACACAGCGGTTCTAGATTCACGAGCTAGCGCAAGCATCACTTGCGGACCTGCCTGTCCTACGCCACTGCATGGAGTGAGAGGTGCCTTGTGGTCTCAAGATTTTCGCAACTTAGATGAGCGTCGCATAGCAAAGACCACAGGACATGAAGGCGACAAAGGCATGAGGCCGTCGCTCTGATGGAGAACAGGGGCCTTGCCGAGCTTAACTGTACAGGTTTGTGACGGTTAGTGATTAGTGTTTCTGAACTGCTTCCACAACTGTAATGGCGGAAATTCAGCAGCTTCGTTCTCGAGATCCGCAGATCAAAGCAGCACTAGCGGCCATCATGTACTAGGAGAGCGTCTGTTGCTCACAGTGATGAAGACAGCATCTCATGGCAGCACAAGTGCAAGGTAAGGCCGTTGTAGAGCATGCTCATGCGTGCATTGTACCAAAAACTCTTTGCCAAGGGGCTCCCCACGCTTTGCTCCTAGCATGTCCGCAGCCAAGGCAGTAGCGAATCGAGACTCCAGGTAACACTGGACGCAAGAACCTTGCTGCAGATATGTCCTGCTCTGGGGAGCCCGCACTGGATCTGCGACTTCAACAAGCAAGCTGTCTTAAAGTGCGCCCCCAGGAGCCAATGTAACATGTATTGCTGATGACGACGACAGCGGCAGCAGCAACAACAACAACAGCAGCAGCAGCTTAGTGGTTCAGTGATTCAGCAGGTTCAGCAAGCGGCAGGTGCAGAGGACGAGCCCTAACCTGGCAATTGAGATTATGGCCCTCTCTCCCCGGCACCACAGAGTTTACGACCATCCTGCGAACTCTGCTGCGACCACTGGCCACCCCCAACCCCAACACCAAGAACTGCACAGCCCGTTGTGCAAATCCAAGACAAGCTGCAGACATAAGACAGGTTTGCCAACCAGTCACATTCACTCAATGCTGGTCGCTTGAAGTCGCTGCCTTCCTTGCCTTTTTCGCATCGATCATTGGGATCTGCCGCAACACCACGAAGGGCCGTCGTTAGCAGAGCAGGGTCGCTTTTGTCTAGGATTAGAAAGGTTTCGAGGTATCCGGCACGATGGTTTGCTTTAGGGGTGTGACACCGGATCTTTGGCTCATTGCCTAGCCAGGTTTTGCATGTTTCTGGCAGACTTGCTATTTTGCGCAGCCTAGGGTGCACATAAATCGGCAAAGAGTTTGCTGTCAGTGACCTATACGAGGCTTCCGTACCCCAGCGTCTGCTGTGGAAACTCCATCAGACCCTTAGCAAGTCTTGCAAGGCAGCCGCAGCAGAATGCATCACCACACTACCCGCCTGCTACCCGCCTGTGTTCAGTGTGGGGATGGGATTTCAAGAAGGACAGGAAGCTGCAGGATAGAGAGTTATGTTTTCGCTTCCAGGATCGGGGCCCGCTTGTGGGGTGTAGCGTCTTGCGGTAATGGGGAATGAGAAGGACAGGGAAGCGGAGCTCCCTTTCTTTGCCAGAAATTTCGTCATCTAAGCGATTGTTGCAGGCCTTGCTGATGTAGTGAGGACGGAGCTCTGCACCTGCCCCCCATCCCCATGTCAAGATCATCTCTGAACGATCGAGAGTTATGGTTAGCAGCTTGAAAAACAGTGCCTGACACGATTTTCGACATGGTTTTTAGATCGGGCCGCATTTTGTACTTGCACATGAAGGGCAGGACTTCGGGATGTTGCTTGGTCGGCGTCTTCCTCAAAAGACAGTAGCATCAACGGCAGGCCTCAAGCCGTGAGGTTTCCCTAAACAGAATGAGGCTGATACCTATCCGCACCCGTTCGCCAAGATGTGAAACTCAACAGCCGACGAAAAGGAAGAAGGCCAAAATCCTTGCTGGTGCTCCTGAGCCCGTGCACAGTTCCATGTGTAATGACGAGGCACACACCTGGAAAGTCGCTTTTCCGAAACACTCCGGGTTCTTACGTTCAGTGTAAAGGGAATCCGTGATGGCACCGGTATTCGCACTTGTCCCACTCGCACCGAGTTCATGACATCATTCTTTACCGCTCAAGGTGTTGATGAACCGTATCGTGGCGTCTGTTGGTGTGAAAATCGTGTTTCCGCATATTTGGCACTGAAGTGAAGACGCTCAAGTCGCTGAAGTCGTGGCAGGGCCACCTGGCTCGTCCACTGTCTCAAAGCTCCTCGAGCTACGGCCAACCATCTTTCCACTTGACCTTCCATCTCCTGGTTGAAGCAAAGTCGACGCACATTTGCCACGACAGCACACAAGACAGTCTTCGTATCTCCTGAAAAGGCTAGCGTCGAGACGCATGCTTTGCTACCGCGGTGCTTGGCTCGAAGTCCAGAAGCCCTTTGCGGCTGCGGCCGCGGCCGCAGCTGGGGCGATGCGGCCGGGGTTTTTGCGTAAGACTGCAGACTGACCAAATTTTCGTGGCGTGCAAGTTAAAATTAAGTTTCAATGCAATGAGTCCTCTACAGTCTTTGGCTAAACACCCTGGACCTTGCTCAAACTGCAGTTCCGGACCACGAGCAGGTTGCCAGACGGCTGGCAAGCATATCGCTTCCAAGAGTCCGGTACTTCTGGACGGGACGGAGAGTAGCAACCAACATCGCCAACATGCCATGTTGGATGTTTATGATCATTACAATGTTCCCTCCCACACCATGAGGCCTTGGTCTTATTGCGCTATCATCCTTAAGCCAGATGTCCACGTCTTGGGAGACATGGCCTCAAAGCCACATAAATCGGACATGAACTCGCAGGACAAAGGGAGGTAGGAGGAGTCCAAGCTTGAAGCTCTTCGTTGGAAGTTCTCGGGTTCATGCAACTTTGCTCGGAAGACGTGGCAGGCTGCCAACCGAGGACTGGAGGCCGCTACTTGAGTCTGTTCGTTCAGTGGAGTTTGTAGTTGAATATACGAGCAAGTCTAGACGTAGTCGAACAGACTACTTAGTACTTGTGCGGTTCCTCGCTTTCGGACTTTCACGGTTTGGTGCCTCGGGGCCAAGGGCATGTTGCAAGCCGTTCTAGCAGTTGCTGCATTCATGGTCTGCATGGCATCTGAAGACTCTCCGTCGCGAAGCAGTACTATAGAAGGTAAGCCACTTAGTTGCGCAAATACGACGGTGACAGTCGCACCAAAATTCGAAGCCAAGTTGTAACAGCTACAGATGAAACATAGACAACATCCCATAGACCAGAAGTGGCAAACTTGTAGAATTATGCAGGCAAGTATGGTAGTGGGCGATTGGTGGTAGCAGTAGTTAGGGTTATCCGAGAGGACATGCATGCTCTGTGTTACCATGTTCATGATGACTTGCAGCAGCGGCCTAGGGGAAGTCATAGATTCTGACACACTCAGGGCCGGTGCGTCTTGCTTTCCGAGCGAACCCTCCGCAGAGTCTGAGTTGCGAGAGTCCAGGCATCAGCCAAATGCAGTGAAGCGGAAGTGAAAGAGGATGTGTCGCGTCGCCTGTACTTGTGGTGGGAAGACAGCAGACGCTATCACAGATATAAGCTTGCCATCACCATCACCATCGTATCACCATGCCATGCTGGTAATCAGCAAGAAGCATTATCATCGCCTTGACAGCCGATGCTGATTAATGTCATGGAGGCTAACAACAGCTCCTTCTACGCACAGGAGATTCGTCTTGGAACGCCACGGCATGTCATGGTTGGGGCGCTAGCAGACCCGTACAAGCTCGGATTTGGTAACGGCAATGGCTTGAAGTCAGACTGTCATCGCATGAGCCTAGCGTACCTACCCTCATCTGCCCTTGTTTGCTCGCCTTTCAGGGGAAGCTGCTGTGATCGAAGGAAGTAGATGGCCTTCTCGTCTGGCAAGGCAGGCAGCGGAAGACTGGGCCTGTGCCATGACATAACGTTTGCAAGCAAGCTGAGGTCCATGGTCCCATCTTAGAAGAACACTGATTCAAGCAGAGCGCAAGCATGCAGATGCCAGGTGCAAGGCCAGTGCCTTGTGGGAGCACCGCTGTAACATCGCACACTTCATGCACAGTTCCTGGCTTCTGAAATGATTGGATTCTAAACAACTTCACGCTGTGGACGCTCCGTAAAGTCACTCGGAACCCTTTGGAAGTGCAGTAAGCCGGACTCCCCAACAACCTGAACTACTACCCTTGGAGGCCCGACGGCGTCCCTGATCTCGAGCGTCCCCAGCCAGAAAACCATAATATATATATATATATATATGAATACATATTATATATATATATATATGAATACATATATATATATATTATATTATATTATATTATATTATATTATATTATATTATATTATATTATATTATAGTATAATATATATATATATATATCTCTCACTTGTCCCGATCACCAGTCTGGCTCGCTGGTGTCCGCCGATGCACCTGCGAGCACTCCGGGGAAGCTAGACAGAGGCCCACTGGGTCGGGTGGCAGAATGATCTTGCAGCCTGTAGTGTCTGGTGGCTTCGAAAGTCTGCAGAAAACAGAACGGTTTGTCGACCGAGAGGTGAGCAGAGCACCAGTTTTGTAAATGCCAGACTGTCACAAGTGACGCGACACAAAGCTTGCACAACTTGGGAAAGGACGTGGTCGAGGCCGAAAGAGCGAAAGAAACGAAGAGCCCCTGTGTGGCAGATGAACACCACACGCAGTCAGACAGTCAGAGCGAAGAAGACAGTCGGAGGGAAGGGAAGGAGACAAGACAAACAGACCGAAGGCTTGAGTGTAGAGCCGCACAGCCCCAAAGCCGTCGAATCATAGAAATTCTGCACCTCACTTTGGCTTGCCCCCACGTTAAGGGGCTTGAACAGTACATGGACAAATTGGTAGAAAACTTGCACCCAGGCCCACAGACACTGCATCCTCTGCCTCCGGGATCCGCGCCGCCGCAGTTGGCCTCGTCGACACCCGGCTGTACCATTGTCTCTTGCATGGTGGAGTCTGCTTGAAGAACATTAATTCCGCGTTTTTGGTCGGCGTGTGTCTCTACAGTTCATCGGCCTAACCTGCGCACACTGGCCAAGTCTGGCCGAAAATCCACAGCTCAGCAATTTTAACGTCCACAACTATGGACAAGTGACGGTTCATCCACGACCTATCTGCATGCCAATACCCTACCCGACGTGTAAGAAGGCATAGGCATAGGCGTAGCTCAGGAAGACTTACCGTAGAAAGCCTACAGGATTGCTTTTCAGCTTGATCTACATTCGGCCACAGCTGTTTGCTGCCTGCAGACGTGCCATAAACGTGTCGGAGCTCTTGTATAAACGACACGATTCAGCTGTCGTGCTTGGGGAGTAGGAATGGTTCTCCACAATTTGGAGTTGTGATCCCTGCCGCATCTTGAGGCAGTCAGGTCTCGCTGGGGAACCGCAAGAGAGCAAAGTCAGTGACTTGCCTGCGAGTTGGCAGAGGTTTGCGATTTCCCCTGTGAGCTTAGATTTCATGGGAGCAGTACCTGTCGATCCCTAAGAATTTCTTGGTTTTGGTATGGAGCCTAACGGCCAAGAGCACTGAACTGCGATTTGCCTGGCCGCTTTTTCTCTTGCTCCGTTTCAAGGTTTAAGCGTCAGGATGACCGTCATCATTGTCAGAGTACGTATCTGGAAACCAGGCGCCACAACACCCCTCAAAGATCCTCAAAGTTATGCAGGAGACAGAGTTCAAGTTTTCAACTAGCCCACGGGAAATTGCCAGGTCTCCTGCCTCGGATCAAAGGGACGCTGGGGCCAAAATGCCGGCAGCTGGTGTTGAACAAGCCGCTGGAACAGAGTTCAGAACGCTTTGCTTTCGTGGTGACTCCCTGTTGTATCGACTTTGCCACCCCCGGCGTCCCTCCTCGAAGCTGTAGTAAGCAACAAGAAAGTACAGATCCATCTTTCGTTCTTTGCGTTCCAGCGGGCCCCTCAACTGCCACCCCCCCAGTTGATAATGCTTTGCAGCCCCAAATCTTTCATCCAACAGCATTTAATATAGGTCAACTATGCAGACTATGCAGAGTGTTTTGCGTCAATGCGTTTCTGAGGTACTTTCAGTCCTGCATGTTCATATCTCTCCTCATGGCTCTCTTCTTACCAGCCCCTGGCTGCATACGGAGAGCGAGTGCGAGGAGAAAAGCGGCAAGCAATTCAGGCTCTCTTGGAGTAGAAGTTCGATTCAAATTTCGATGAGCCGGTACGGTCGAGGCTAACGGGAGGGATGGTGAGCATACTCCAAGCATGCGAGAGGCGGCGTCGCACGAGCGTGAGCACTTTACGTGGTGCTAGCTGCAAGAAAGTAAAGGCGTTTGTGTCCGAGCCAGAACTCCCGTTGTCATGAACGACTGCACGTTACATCCGGAAGGCTAGCAGGCCCAGTCCAGTAGACCAGTAGAGACAATTCCGCAGTATAGAAGCCTCCTTAGGCAAAGACTGCAGAACTGCAGAACCCGGCAATATGCGACAAAATCACAACCAAAACATAGTGCATCTACGACGTCATGAAGGATGCGGGCACGAGGGTGAAATTACAGCGCTTTGGGCTGAAGCCGGTCTTCCAAAGACCGCTAAGGTACCCTGCCATCCGGTCTCGTCTTTGTTAAGCAGCAAGGCAAAAAAGACCGCTAAGGACCTTTGGGTGGTTTTCGACCGTCCAAACAACAACGACCTCGACATATTGCTGACTCTGGCACCTCGGATTACCGAAGGGGTTGAAGTCGAACTGAGGCTACTGCAACTGTTCACCCCAATTCTCTGGACAACGATGGCAAGTGTTTGCCTCTCTTTCAGGTGTCCCTCTGCTTGCTCAGATGCCGGAGTGCTCGAAACAGTCTGATAGCATGGTCATAGCTTGCACCACTCCCATCGGAAGCCGCCCCCAGTTCAGACAATAGACGCATGTCGTGAGCCTCGCGACATGTCAGGTTGGTGTCGCTTTCATCTTCGAGCTGCTTGTACAGTCCATCGGCATGCCGAAGCTGGCCAGCAAGTGGCCGGCCAAATGGCTAAATGAGAGTGTAACAGAGAGGTTCCACCCAGCACTTGTTCCTGTGGAGGAGTTTCAACAGCACGGCTGGAGGCGGTTGCTCGCACTGGGTGGCGGGTATATTTTCAACAGGCAGAGAATGCGGATTTGTGGTGGTGTGTTATTTTACCGCCGCGTCATCCATTTGGGCGATTTGGGGGGATTTACTTGCAAGCATGCTTGGATGATGATCCGACACTCAGGAAGACCTATCCGAATTCCTTCTTCTTCTGGATGGCTGCTTGTCCGTACCTCTTGGAAACAAACTGAACTCTAACAACTTCGCTGCGCCAGACTCTCCTGTGTCCTGGCGGTGTGTTTTTCAACACCCATCCTGCAGTTGAGCAGTCTTCTGTTTACATGGCACCGGCGAATATTGATGCCACGGTGAAACAACTATCCTGAACACACCTCTTCATGCCTCATTGCATCTGCCAAGGACTTGATCGGGGCGGCACTTTGGCTGGTCATTGGCATGGCAAGCCAGGGATCGAACTTTCAGAAAGAAGCGGCTTTGGACCGGTAGGTTGGGAAAAGAAATTGCTGGCCGCCAGCATGGGCCACAGCAATGCATGCATGGAATTACCGGCGCTGTCACGAACGGTCTGAAATGAAACCAAGGCATCTCTGCTGCTAGACCTTTCCTACATCACCGGTTCTGATGAGCCTGCGGGGCTCCCAGAGTTGCCAAATGTTCGAACGTGTGCACCACAGCTGTAATTTGCTGTGCTCCAGCAATCGCAGCGTGCCAGGAAGATGTCTTCGGGCCGAGGTTAGTGTGCTCAGGCATTCGTTTACTTCGTGAGGGCTCCGTAGCCGTAGTCGCTTCGATCCACCCGTGTCTGGGCCACCGTGAATAAAGGTGTTGCACCGGTACATAAGCTAGTACTGTTGCAAAGTCCTTCTGACTCCGCGTGCAGTCAATAAGGGTGTGACTGAGGTGACTGAGGACAGCGTGTCCAACAACGTAATTATCATGCGAGCAGCACTTTGGCTGCAGCCATGGCATAAGAGAGGCAGCTTCCTTGCTTGAAGGACTTGCCGGTAGCCCATCCCTGTTGTTCGTCCTTTCCACACAAGGTGTAGCATCACCAGTCCCATCATCCTCCTCTTGACTCGCCCTCCTTTCTACGGGCGCACGGTCATAATACTGCTTCGGTGACTTGTTTGTGCTTGATTTTGGTTTGCTAGCCGAAGCAGCATGCAGCCTTGCAAAAGTGTTTCAGTCGTTGTGACGTGTTGGCCTGAGCACCTTACACGCAACAGGCCCGCATCGCGAAGTTGGGTGCCCGGGCCGGGCGCTTCACGAAGTTGATGCTGGGCATGGCTTTAAACTGTCCTTCGTTGATGGAGTTTAGCTTTTTGGCATTGGCTCTGGGGTTGCATCGTCTTTGGAGGACCAGACTCTAGTCGGTGAGTTGCAGGAAAGCTGTCGCCCCTCGGTCCACCTCAAAGGGTCCTTTGCTGTCCTTCTTGCAACTTAAGGATGAAGCTGCTGAGGCCAGCAGGACGTAAACAGACCAGGGCAAGCGCTGCTGCGACTGCTTTTTCTGCTCGGGAGAGTTGGGAGTTTGGGGCGGTTCAGGCTGCCAGGTTACTTGTGACTCCGTCGGCTTTGGGTTCGAGGAAGTTTGAGTATGCAGCCCTGGTCTACCATAGTCATCGCCTGACCTGGTCGAGCGCGAGTGCTAAAACATTGCAGGCTGCAAGCATCGCATCCTTGAACCAACCTCCTTGCAGGTTTCTGCCGGGAATGGGTTCGGTGGATGACGGAGCCGGGACTGCCCTTCGGCAGAGCATTGGCTTCTCGCAGAAGGGCGGGTTCGGCAAACCTCGCTATTGCAACGTTTTGCCCATCTGCTGGTTCTGCCGACATGCACCCACATGAATACAATTGCGGAGAGTTCCAAAAAAACGTCGACAGTTACGAGGAGGATGATGCAGACGAACAAGATGCCTGTAGTTGTTTGCTCGGATGAGAGGACTGGCTTGGCCCTGCACAGGAGGGGAGGGGAAAAGAGGGGGGGCCGACGCGCGCGGGCGACGCGCGGACCATATGGTTATATACAAGGAGAACCACAAGAACAACAAGAGCCATAACAACAATGACAACAACAAGAACAAGAGAAACAACAACAGCAATGACTGAGGCAAGGAGAAGCTGTTATTGCACCCTTGCAAAACCTCACTACTTTATCAATACTTTATCACCAGCACCAGTATCCCAGGCGAAGCTCATCTCTTCGAAATTGACCACAGCATTGCGACCGGGATGGACTTGGTAGTGCGTGACGCAACTTAGGCATCTGCAGTGAAGAGACTGAGTGAACCCTTTGTCCCTAAGCCCTAAACCGTCCTTATGTCCGCACCCAGCCTCGGCAGCATATTGCAAGCCTCTGATGCCCTCATGTGACCTGGGCGATCAAACACTGCATGACTGTTGACCGCTGCATCGAAGCTCCGCTTAGACCTGAAAGCCCAGCCCTTAGGTCAACACGAACATCCTGCCTGATCATTCTGCTGGCCTTTTGGTCAGAATTTTGTGCTGTACAGTTTTGGTCTTCTGGTTGCGAGATCTTGGTCAAGGGGGGCCGGCAAGCGTAACGCAACGAACTACGATCTTCTGAGTTGAGCACTTTTGCGAAGTGGCCCAGCGGTTCTGGGGCACTTGGAAGCCACCAATATTGGAAAAAGTCTGGAACATGCTTCAGGGTTTGCCAGCTATGGAAGCCAGGTTTTGCGATCATGAGCTGCAGCCATGCAGATAGTTGCCGCTACCTGGAATGTTTTCTTTTCATGGCTGAGGGCACGTTAGCAGAGTCTAGCAAGGAGGACGTAGCCTTCATGGCATCATCACCGCCTGAAGGTCATGATAATGCCGCTTTTCAACCTTTGGGCCTACCCCGAAGAGGACCGGGGAACTTGTCGATCCAAGTTTGGGTGTATGCATTTAACTGCAGCCTGTTTGCTGCTCGCACTTCGCCTGCGCACGAGAGTTCGCTCAGTGCCGGGCAGAGCCATCCACAAGGATACTTACAAGAATCGTGTACAGGTAGCTAAAGCTATCTCCAGGTGCATGTGTTGAATTGAGGAGTGCTGAACGGTGTTTTGACCTGCCAACTGGAGGTTTGAAAGTTCAGCTCTGTCTGGTTGCCTGAGTCACCTGCCCGGTCTCCGGCTGCTCCGTTTGCCACTGTCACAGCATTGTGGCAATCCTGGCCCTTCATTCCGATGCAAAGAATTATCCAACTTCGTCACCGGTAATCATAGTCACAGCCTGTCTCGGGTTGGAAGCCGGCGATGACGTTGACTTGGGGAAGGCCTTGGTGCACGCTGCCACTGCGAGAGTTTTTTCACAGCAACCTCCAGGTATGGCTTCAGTCAGTTTGGCCACTGCGGCTCTCTAGGCGTGTGGATGCACGGAACTCCTGTCACAAGATGTTACACGGATCACCCGAGGAAAGCTAGCAACGCGGAAAACCGTCCAAAACTTTGCACTTCCAGGATTGGTCCCCTCATTCCTTCATGGACATTCTGGTCCCTGCGCTGCAGTTGCTGTATGGTTGGAGGTGAGGCTGCGTTTCAGAGGAGACTCTCAAAGCTCGGTATAACCAGAGTTTTGCTAAAATGCTTATTCGGCTAGACCGAAAGCATCGGGAGGCCATCATTGTTGGAACTCCATGTCACCGACCAAGGAGGCGAGCTATTCTCGCTCCACACAACACTTTCCCGGTCAGCTCCAGGACCGTGGTTGTTGCAAGCCTCACGCGAGCCAACACCACATAACCGTAAGTCAGCTACAGTGGGCGTCGAATTCCCGATGTAGGACCGAGAGTGACGGGTCTTTGCATTGAGAAGTCGCCTTCAGACGGTATGACCCCACCCCCACCTTTCAATTTTGCGGTGTAGCCGTCCGCAGGGAAGCATAATTAAGTGAGGGAAAAAGCAGCGTAGCCATGACGACACAAACAGCCGCCATGACATACATCAGCGATTCAAGTTGAAAGCAAGCAAGATCATAGATCATGAAGGTCAACCATGATGAACATCGGCATCTTCTAGATAAAACCGGTGATGTACTTCGGAATTAGAAAAGAGAGACGGATGGAAAGACTGAAGGGAGTGATGAAACAAATTAGCAAGTCGCGCGAGGAGCTTGTGAACTTCTTCAGTGACAAGTGGCTCTGCGCGAACGATTTGAGCGATTTTGGACTCGCAGACACGACCGGACCGTAGCATAAGTTGGTGCACAAAAACCAAGCCGCTTCACTGGTATTTACTTCCAGATGTCACTCGGACACCTCCGAGTGGAGTTTGGAAATCTAGCAAACCACGGGTACGCCCTAAGCACTTGTTTAGCTCAGCTGGCCAAGCACTTGCCCAAGCCCTCAAGCTGGAAGTGATCCCATTGAAAATTGTTTCTTTCCGACGACCAGGTCCTACTTCCCATGGCGCGTGCGCGCCAAGAGCGACCTAACGCACCCAGCAGAAGTCCTGCAGGTATCAATTGTTGGCTTTGTGTCGAGCTTTGGAGTTTTTCGATTTGCTTGCCATGTTCAGACGAATGTGAGCTTATTGTTGGTCTGTTCTTCGGTCAACCTCCTTCCAGAAAACGTGATGGGTGTGAAGAGTCGAAAAGAGGCGACTTCGCACCGTGTAGGATGCAAACTTGGTTCCAAGTCACGCGTCTTTGGGAGTTCCCAGACATCTTCCACTTCAAAAAGTGTACCAAGCAGGGCTTTTGCAATGGCTGGAATTGGTTTTTCTCGGCTGCACCGTGGCAGCCGATCAAGCCTGGGATGCGGCCTTTCAGTTCGAATTGTTTCGTGTTGCCAAAAGTCATCGAGTCCTGTAATTGCCGCTCAAAAGAACCGTGTGGGGTGGCAGGTTCTGCCGTGGATCGCCCAGACTGGGCCGCCAAAGCGGATAAGCAACAGCGTGGTGCCTTCGCATGTTGAGAGAGAGGAAGAGAGAGAGAGAGAGAGAGAGAGAGAGAGAGAGAATTTTGGCTCAAGCCGCGGGCTCAAGCCGCGAGTGCTCAAGAGACCAGCCCCTGTGTCCGGGTCTCCGAAACCGAGAACGTAGTAGTGCTTCGGTGGACAGCAAACACAACAAGGCTGCTATCCAGGTGCAAAAACACCTGCAGCCAGCGGTGCCGCCATAAAGTTGACCGGCAAGACTGCTGTCCTACACGTCTTCACCTTTGCCGCTCCCAAGGGGGACCTTGGCAAGAACGCTGCTCCTCGGCAACCGCAGCTGGCCGGCGTGCGGGGGACGTTGCCACCAGCTACCCTAACGGCTTGGCGGCCTACTCACGGACTTTGTGCCCGGGGGGATCAGGGACTTTGACTCGGGGTCGCAAAGAATACGGAGGGTGTGCAACGTGACTTCTTCGACCGCGACACCGAGAATGCAGTCTACCGGTGCCACTGGACCCCAAGAAGGGGGAGGCAGCGCAAACCTGACGGCAAACTCCAGCCCACCCAAGCGCCTTCGGGAGGGAGGCTCAGGAACAGACGACGACAAGGACAAAGTTACACTAGCCTCCATCCGAGAAGCCATCCGAGAACAGCTGCGTGAGGAGAGACACATCCTCTCGGGGGAGCTGCGTGAAGGCTTGGCTGAGGTCCATAATCGCATCGACACCGTGGAGAAGTGCACCACAGCGCTGTGCAAGACGGTCACCGACCAGCAGGCTAAGATCGACGCCAAGGTGACTAACATCGAACAACACACACAGGACTTGGGGGAAAGACTCGAGCTCCTGGAAGGCAAATTCGCCACAGCCCAGTACAATGTCAGCAGCAGTACGCGAGGATCCGATGGATCAACAGCCGAGTCGGTTCGCCCAGCCTTGGTCCTCGGGGGATGGGCAGCTGAGCAAGCAGCTTCGGAGACGCTCCGGTTAGTCAAACAGCACGTCGCTCAGCTTCGACTTGACCTGGACATGGACAACGCCTTTGTGCCTGGACTACGACGCGGCTTTGCTATCCTACCCCTCCAGGCCCGCCAAGGGGAAACGCAGATGCAACTTCGGGGAAGAGTCCAAGCATCCCTGGCCGCCATCCGAGAGGCCAAAATCATCACTGGACCGCGGCCAGAGGGAGGCAACCGCCACTTCTTCGCAGCAATGAGCCAGCCCTTGGAGAGGCGCCGCCGCGCGCAGTTCGCCGGAAAAGTTAAGCGACTTGTGCTCGAGGCCGGGGGAAGGAACTCTGCCCTTGAGGTGGAGTTTGGCACAGCCAACGTCTGGTACAATGCGACGAAGATTGCATCGGGGGTTACTACAGCTCCAGACGGGGCCACAACAACACCAGGGGGATGGCTCAACCTGGCCCCCCTGGCGCGTCAGCTGGGAACATCCGGGGAAGCACTCGAGGAAGCCTGGAAAGAGCTCCGCAAGGGGCTCAGCTGAGACCTCAACAACGACGAGCACTTGTTTCACACACAGGGGGACGCTCCCTCAGAGGTGTCGTTCCTCAGTTGGAACGTTGGTGGCCTTCAGCCTGCTAAAGCACTGCAAATGCTATCATCGCTCCGACAAGTCCGAATTCATCCCTTTTGTGGCAGCTTTGTGATACTTCTCCAAGAGATGATCATTGAACCGGGGAAACATTTCGCTGAACTTGACGACCTACAACTTTTCGCGGGAAAGCTTCAAAAAGAATGGCGTGGAACAGGGGTCGCTCACAGCGACGACATCAGCAGGTCTAGCTGCAAGACGTCCGCATGCACTACGTCCTGCACAATTCACATTGGGAGCATCGACTTGATTGCCATGTCCATGCACATCCCTCACCATGCAAACCTGGCGGAGACCGGGGAGATCTTGGAAGCAGCCGAACAACAACTCCGAAAGAAACACAAAGGCTTGTTGGGGATGGACGCCAATGAAACCTTTGTGCTCCGTGGGAACAATGGCCTCGATTCTGAAACGGGGCGAGGGGAATTAATCCTCGGATGGCTTGAGCGATTACAACTTGTCCTTGCTGCTGACAACGTCGACAAGCCGAGTTACTTCCCATACAACCACCGCCTTCATCCCCGAAGACTTGACTATGTCGCCCTTCGGCATCTTCCAGTAGACTCGGGGGACGTCCTGGCGCACAGGGATATCGCCAGCTCTGACCATGAACCCGTGGTTGTCACTGTCGGGGTCAAACCCGCCAAGCGTGACTACTCGACCAGAGCGCCCGAATGGGGGAGCCGACGATTACGTGGACCAACGGTGGTGAAGCAGATTCTGGAAACCCCGTTGACATCCGGCGACCCGCTGGAAGCCCTGGCGCGAACGGCCGTCGCAATCACAGTCCCAGGCAAAATCTTGCCTCACTTCAAAGAGAGCAGGGAGCTAAAGCACCTTCGAGCAGCAGCCATCAGACAAGACGGGGGACCAGAGCGCAGAGGACTCTGGAAACAGGTCATGCGGCGGCACGGTCAAGAACATCGCAAGTGGCGAAAACAGTTGCTTGACCGAACAGCAATCGGCGACTGGAATGCCAAGAAGGCACTCGCCCAATCAACGCGCAGTCACGAGTGGGAACTCCCCCTCACAGATGACCCGCAGTGGCAAACCAAGCTGACCGAGCACTTCAAGAACATCTTCCAGAAGCAGGACAGCGCAATCATTGCAGTCAAGTTTGCTCAAATCGATGCTCGGCTCGTTCGACTCTGCAAGGGGAGAACCTGGACACCCTTCAGCATGGAAGAACTGATCTCTATTCGCAAGCGTTGGAAGAACGGACGAGCATGTGGTCCGGACATGGTTTCACATGAAGCCATGAAAGCAATGCTGCAGCACCCCCTCTGGGGGGGGATGATGCTGGAGCTGTTCAATGATATGCTCTACACGGCCAAGATACCGCAATCCATCGAACGGGGAGTAAGTATCCTCTTGGCAAAAACCAGCCAACCGGGGGATTGGTCGGAAACAAGACCAATCACCCTAAGCTCGTCCTTGCTCAAGGCCTTTTCCCAGTTGCTACTTCTACGGGCCGGGAATGATGTCATGACCCCTGCTCGCCTGCAATGGTCAAGGAAAAGCCGACAAGGGGTCGAACTGCTGATGATACTCCGACGCGTTTGTCGAGTCGCCTTTGACTTCGGTCTGGAAATGTTCGTGGCGAAACTTGACATCCGCAAGGCTTTTGACTCCGTCTACCAGGAAGCCATGGCGGACCGAATCGAGGAAGATGTTGCCGTCAAAGGGGGGAAGCCGTGGGAAGCCAGAGCTTGGACAGCACTCCTGCGCTCAGGCAGGATTTCCATCAACTTTAGGGGGACAACCCTCCAGCTGGACCAAACCAATGGAGTACGCCAAGGAAGCCCTGACAGCCCCGTGGCGTTTGGTTCAGTAGTCGCCAGAGACCTCGACGACTGCATCAGCAAAGCCAAGAGCTCCAAACCTACGACGGGGGATCCACCACCTGAAGATGGAGGTAGCTACATGGATGACACATACATATGGTCCATGTCGCAAGCACACATGCAGAAGATGCTAGACCTTCTGGGGGACACACTGCCTCAGAAAGGGCTCTTCCTGCATCCCGGCAAAGTGGACATCATCAGCAACAAGACACAGGCCACCTTCCGCGTTGCGGGGAAGGACGTCAAGACGAAGGGGGAGAACCACATCATGACCGTGTTGGGGAGCCCCATGGCCTTCCACCTGGTACCGAGTATCGTTGTTGCGGCCATGCAAACAAGGGGGAGGAAAGCCTTCTGGACACACCGGGGGGAGTTGACAGCGAAGGCGCCGATTTCCAAAAAGATGATTTTGCATACGATGCTGGTCCGCCAATCAGCCCTTTGGGGCTGCGCCACATGGCCATGCAATGCACAAATTCTGAAGCAAGCAAACTCCATCCAACTGGCACATATTCGCGATATGGCGGGCATGCGCAGGGGGGATGGTGAAGGCTGGTCCACATGGAATCAAAGGACCCTTCGCAGGACCCGGGGGATACTCTTCCGGCACGGCATCACCAAGAAGCATCCAGCGGCAAGTCGATGGTCCACCTTCATCCTGGAACAGATCTGGGGACTACTGGGACACATGTGTCGAGGTGATCCAGTAGGGGGACAACTCCTCCGGTGGCGATGCTTGTCGTGGTGGAATGCTCATAGGCCACCGTGGGGGAACATCACCCACGCCCGGAGATTTAACGCGTACATGGACATCGACCGACAGGTCACTTCAGTCGCGGGGGAAGAATGGCACCAAGTAGCCCTGGACCGACAACGATGGTCCAGCCTCCTTCAGACGTGGGTCGACAAGTACGATGTACCATGGGCGTCTGGAAAGCAGACAAGCATAGCGAACCTCACGCCACATCGAAGTTCGAGCCCAAACAACAGAGGGGAAGACTTCTCGCCGCCTCCACCATTGCCTACCTGATGACGTGGGGTACACCGGTGCCCCCCTGACTCGTAGCCAGAAGGGGAGGCATGTGATGGTCTTCCACGTAGACCAGCAAGCGCACACAAGTTCAGCGGAGTGTTGAAAATGCCACATGACCTTTACGTCAACTTGCTCAGTGGATGATTGTCAGTCAGCAGCCCTGCCCCAAGATAGGCAACACATGATACAGTGGCATCGCAGACTCGATGTACATGCACCCTTTACTACCTCCCCTCGCTGATTCTCGATGACTACCCCAACCTCGACAATCATGCAGACACGTTTCAGTCTCCAGAGAGCTCCGATGTGAACATCGTCAGCAGCCGTGAACGACTTGCTCTTCCGCGCGCGCCTTGGCTCGAAACATGAACCTCGGGGACATGACTCGCTTTATCGTTCTTCATGCATTCCTACGAGCAGCACACCTGGCCCTAGCTTTGTGACCTTTGACTCTGACTGCCACCAAGCACTTGAGAAGATGTTCGGCTTCAAAGCCGTTGTCATCCTCACTGCAAGCCTTGGGGGACGAGGAGGTGGCACC